GTCTAGACCACGGTCCTGCTGGTCCTCGGCAAAGGCTTCTTGCGGCTTGGACTCAAGCGAGTCAACTTGGCTGTCGACCAGCGTCGGCTCCTGAGAGGCATTCTCGAAAACCTCGTCTGGGCTGATAGGAGTCGCAGGCCCTTGCGGAGGTGTGAGGAAAGCCTCGTCCTGGCTTTCTATCGTTGTTGGCGTTTGAGGTTCCACTTGAGCTGTCTCCTCTATAGCGAGATCTGTCGACTTGGCATCGATTGCCTGGGATTGATCGGCTTTCTGCACGTCGGTGGCAGAGGACTTCTCATCAATTGGTGTGTTGAATGAAGTAGCATCTGCGAGCTCAGCAGGGAGCGCTTCATTGATGACTGCAGGCACCTGGTCGTTCTCTTCGGCTGCCTTTTTGTCCTTCTTCTTCTGCTTTTTCGACTTTTTGGAAGACTTGGAAGTCTCATCGGCCGGAGTTAAATCTTGCTGTTGCTCAGTGGGAATCGAAGAAGACGCAGAAGTCTCAAGAGTGTCCGCCGTAGCCAGGGCCGTTTCGGTAAGTACGTCCGACTTGGCCGTCTGAAGATCGATGTCGTCTGGATGATTTGCGTTCACAGGAATGGGTTCAGAAGCGCTGGCATCGGTAACAATCCCCTGACTGGACAGGTCCTCAGCGAATGCATCCGTGATTGGAACCTTGGATGCCTCAGCCGCTGGCTCTTCAGCGGGGGACCTTTCGTTGACGACGTCTTCGGCGGAGAGAGCTTGCGCTGATGAAGCCGCATCTGTCGAAGTCTCGACCTCCGGGGTCTCAACAACCGGGGTCTCAGCAGCCGGAGTCTCAGCAGCCGGAGTCTCGGTGGAAGTCTCAACGGCAGGAATCTCAACGGCAGGAGTCTCAACGGTAGGAGTCTCGACGGAAGGAGCCTCGACAGAGGGAGCTTCAGTAGTAGGGGCGTTGGGGAAGTACTCGGGAGCAGGGCTCTCGATTCCCCAGGCATCAAACGCCGGTGTATCGATGACGGGACCTTCGCCAATAAGGACATCGGTAGCGGCAGTCTCATTGACGGGAGCCTGGGTGATAGGAGCCTCGGTGGTAGGAGTTTGGATACCTGGGGGGGATTGTAGAGGCGTCGACTCGGACGACATTACGTCATCCAGCTGTGACAGCGAAGCACCCTTGCCCTTCTTCTTCTTTTTCTTCTTCTTGCCGGACGCCTCGGGCTGAATGGGTTCAGCTTGTGGCGGCTCCATGAGGCTGGGCTCAGAAGTTGCCATTGTGTTGTCGTCAACAACAGATGGCACGTTGTCAAAAGATTCAGGAGCGGGAATGGAGGCTCTTTCAGTAACATCTTCCGGAAGAGGGAGCGCAGCGGCATCCTTCTCGGCCGAAACTGGTTCAGATACCTCATAGGCCTTTTCGGCAGCATCCTGAGGGAGAGGCACTGCTGCTGCATCCGTTTCGGCAGCGATCTGTTTGGGGGCCTGCTCAACAAAATCGCCATCGTCCTCTGGGAGAGGAACAGTAGCAGCATCTGGTTCGGCATCAGGCAAAACGGGTGTCTCCTCCGATGCTTTCGCGGCGGACGTTTCGACTACTGCGTTATCGACAGCAGATTCTACGGAGGCAGCTTGAGGAGTGTCATTATCGGTCGATACCAACTTCAATTCAGAAGCGGAAGGCTCTGTGCTTGCAGCTGTTTCGGTGGAAGGAGGCTTTGCTTCGGCTTCAAACAAAGCGTCAGCTGTCTGGTCCTTCTTGGACTTCTTCAGCTTCTTCTTCTGCTTCTTGGACAAAGGCGCAGACTCGGCCTCAGCTGGGTCCACTGCTTCCCGCAGTCCGATAGAGGTGTCATCAGTGATTTGATCGGCTTTCGGGGGCTGTGAAACCTCATCGCTCTTTGCAGAGATGTCTTCTTGTCCAGAGATAGAAGGTTGTTGCTTCCATGGGTCCTCGTCTAGCTGCCAGGGGTCGTCTTCAAGCGTGGCTGGGCCTTCCTCTTGTGGTAGAGGTACAGGCTTAGTTTCGTCAATGGCCACCACGTTGGTGTCGGCGGGCTTATCGTCTTGATCAAGAATTGCAATCTGCTGCTCAGCCAAGCTGTCAGATGGGTCGAGTGACTTGTCCTTAGACTCAGAGGGGTACGGCAGTGATTCCGATGGTGTGTTCGGCTTTTCCTGGGGGCCATGGATATCGAGTTGCTGGTCTGGAAGCCTGTCCTGGACCTCGGCGGACTCGGCTTCTGGCGCTTCGGAAACGGACTCTTGCTGCACGGGTGCAACGTCATCAGCGGTGCCAACCGACTTTGCTTCGATGTTCAACGCAGGAGTGTCTTGCTGAGAAGAAGTAGTTGAGGACTCGGGGGCCGAAGTAGATAGAAGAGGTTCGTTTGTCGCATTCAGAGATTTCTTGCCCTTCTTCTTCTTCTTACCCTTCTTGGTGTCAGGGACTGGAGAGTCAGGAATCGGGGGCGAAGCAGGTAGGTCAGTCTTGACTTCCTCCTTGAGATCATTGATCTCAGGCAGTGGTTCTTGGGTCGTATCTAGGACCGGGACAGGAACCGGTTTCTCAGTGACGGGGAGTGCCGGGAGCTTTTCAGCTTCATCCGTATCCTTAACCTCCTGAACATCTGCAGAGGGGGCCAGAGAAGGCTCTGGAAGAGATTTTGACGCCTCGGGAATTTCGCTAGCTTGAGCGGCAGCCTCGGCGGCAGCGGCCATCTCAGCCAGCCTCTTCTTTCTCTGCTTCTTGTTCAAACCTGCAAGCGGGTCTTCCTCCACCTTGGGCTGCTCCGGCTCTGCTTCAGGCTTCTTTTCCTCGTTGTCTGCGAGAGAAGTGGCTGCAGGCTGCTCAAACTCGATGGGTTCCTTAGCTTGAGAGGTGCTGGTTTCAGGAGCAGTAGTCGCTTCAGCAGCTGGCTTGTCCTCTTCGATGGGCCTCGAGGGTGACGTGACTGCTGGCTGCTCGACTTCCACCGCTCTGCTTACTTCAGCGGATTCGGCAGCGGCAGCAATACCAGCGGCCTCGGCAGCTTCAGCGGCTGCCTTCATCTCGGCCTTCTTCTTTTTCTTCTGTTTGTTGCTGAGACCAGCAAAGGGGTCCACCTCAACCGAAGGCTGCTCCTCGACTACAGGCACCTCGACTACAGGCACCTCGACCACAGGCTGCTTGTCGACCACTGGTTTCTCCTCGACCACTGGCTGCTCTTCAGGCTTGGGTTGTTCGGCCTCCAATTCTAGTGATTCGTTGACATGCTCAGGAAGTGGAACGGCGGCGGCGTCGACGGCAGTCGTCTCAGAAACCTCGGTAGCCTCAGCAGCTTTAGTAGCCTCGGCAGCCTCAGTGGCCGCCTTCATCTCGGCCCTCTTCTTCTTCTTCTGCTTGTTGCTCAAGCCGGCAAAGGGGTCCACCTCAACCTCGGGCTGCTCTTCCGACTGCTCTTCAGGCTTGACCTGTACAACGTCTGGCTCAATCTCTGGCTCGAGTGACTCGTTGACGTTTTCAGGTAGCGGAACAGCAGCAGCAAATTCGGCATCGGAAGACTCCTTCTCCTTGAGAGCATCGACAGGCTCGAGAGAAGTCTCTGGAATAGGTTCCGAGATTTCAGAGAGAGGGGCATCCGCAGCTTTTTCGACTTCCGCGGTGGTCTTGGTTGCCTTTTCGGCACCAGTTGGCGGCTCCGAGATGGCTTCGAGAGGTGGGCTTGAAGAGACGGGGGGTTCCTTGGCTTCAGAAGCGTCAGCTTCGTGGGTGGCGATTGCAGCGGCGCTGGCGGCGGCGGCGGTAGCAGCTGCTGCCATTGCTGCCACCTTCTTTTTCTTCTGCTTCTTACTCAAGCCAGCAAAGGGATCCTCTTCGATTTTGGGCTCCTCCTCGGTCTTGACCTTGATTTGCTCTTCAGACGCCTCCTTGACCTCCAACTGAGACACGTCCTCGACCTTCTCGAACAGCGGCTCAGCTGGAGTTTGCTCGATCTCACGAGTCTCTGCAGCTTGTTCATGAATCGGCAAGGAAGTTGGCAGTACCTTTGCATCGAAAGCGGTGTCAGGCTTGTGCTCGATAGGGGCCACAGAGTCCAGAGGAGCATCAAGGCCCTCGTCCGAGGCCTCTGGTAGAGGGATAGCTGCCGCTTGTTCAATCGCAGGTAGGGAAGTTGGCGTCGCCTCTGTTTCGGGAGCAACTTCGGGCTCGGGAGCGGGCCCAACATCAGCCAGCGACTCTCGAGGAGCTTCAAAAACCTCATCCGAGACCTCAGGTAGCGGGACGCCCGCAGCTCGCTCGGCCTCGGTAGTCTCTGCAGTATGCTCAAACACAAGCGCGGAATTGGCGAACGGCGTCGTGTCTGCTTCGGAGGCGGCCTTGCTGTTCTGCTCGGTCGACCCGGTGGATCGTTCGAGCTCCTGCATCTCAGCCTGAGCCTGCTCCCAAGCCTTTTTGATCTTGAGTTGCTTCTTTCTCTCCTTCTTTGACAGCTTTTTGTCAGACGCGTCATCCTCGATAAAACGCTCAGGTGTGGCGGCTTCGGGGGCGGCTTCCTCGACCAGAGCGCTGCTATCTATAGACGGTTCTGTAGGGGGCTTTCCCGCGTCGTCACCGTTGCTTGGCACATGTGGACGTGCATCGACCGCGGCAAGTGCCTCGGCTTTCGACTCCGGAGATAGACGAGTCTGACTTAGAGGCAGCGTTTCATCGACATGTTGGGCTGGTGAGGGAGTGAAATCGGCTGAGAGAAGTGCGTCCTCATCGGCAGACGCAGCAGGAAGCGATGGCAAATTGGTCATATCGTCAGGGAAGACATCGACTGAGGGAACCTCGGCGGAGGGCTCCACAGATTTGTCGAGTGGCACGGCGTGAACAGTGTCGTTAATCGAGGCGTGGGCTAGCTCTTCAATTGGCATGGTACGAGCTTGGTCGCTTGACGGCGAGAAGTCCTTGTCGATGGAGTCGGTTGCAAGTGGCTCGGCTGACACCAAGGTCTTATCGGCATCTGTTGCAAGAACAGAAGAAGTAGGCTCATCTGGGGGAAGGATGGGACCATCGACTGACGCACCCTTACCCTTCTTCTTCTTTTTCTTGTCTTTCTTGGACTTCTTCGCCTCAACCATTGGTGGCTCCGCTGGCTCAGTAGCTTCCAAAGCCTTTGCTTCGCGGCCAAGTTCTGCCGACTTGTCATGGCTTTTGAGACGGTCTGTGAGGTAAGCAGCTCCCAGACCAGCCGCGGCACCCCCCAACAGAGCGCCGATAGCATCATCGCGGGAATGGCCGTCATGGTCAACCTCGGTCAAGTTGGCAGCGATATCACGAGACCGGTCTGGCGTAGGGCTCGATGGTGTGTCTGGTGTGTCACGATCCATTAGATTTTTGATGATTGATGGGGGCGTCATGTGTAGGAGATACGAACTTCTTTCTTTGGACGTGATCTCTACTTGTTCCGGTTCGGGCATCTCAGTTGCGTGCGTCACGGGGCTGTCGGGAAGAGCAGGTAGCTGCTCTAACTTGGCCGCATGATGAATAGGGCTAGCAATAGCCGTTGCTGGGGATGCCACAGGGCTGGCAGGAAGAGCTGGCAAGTCATGCAACTCTGTTAGAGTGACTGCAGTTCCTGCAACTGATGGGGCTGGTAAGTCTCTCTCTTGAGAAAGAGGGGATGCCGATACAGTCTCCAATCTTGTTGTCGGCGACGTCAGAGAGCTAGCAGGAAGTGCGGGCAGCTTCTCTAGTTCATGCTCTGACAAATCTACCCCCCTGGCGGCATCTGCAGTAGCGGGAAGGCCAGGCGACGCCGCATCAAACATGGCACTAGCATGCTGGATTGCATGCTCTGCCTTGGGTGTAGTTTCTTGCGAGCTGAAACGGCGCGTCGTCTGTTCAGGATAGCGGGACATATCCGTGTCAAGACGAAGGTCAGGCTCAAAGGGCGATGCTTGAAGCTGATGGAAGTAGTTCACATCCTCATCACGCAGCGCGAATTCTGGTGCGGGAGACTCCCGCGAGGACGGCTCGCTCGGAGGCAGCTCTGGGAAATCAATGGGTGGCTCCATTGGCTGAGCTGCGGATTCCTGACGAGCCTGTTCAAGCAGGTAGAGTGGTTTGATCTCGCGACTATTTTCCCACGAGATGGGCCTCGAAGGGCGCCTGGACAGGGAAGCGGGGTGAGGAGGGGTGATGTGTGTGGTCTCGGGGAACGTCGGCACTGCTGGGGAAGTGACTGGAGAGACTCCAAAGGTACCGGGAGACGAAGGTGCCGACCTCTGCCCGAGTCGCAGCTTGAAGGGCACGGCTGTCTGACTAGGGCTTCTGGTCGGTGTCTCCATGTTGCTACGCTTGCGCGCGTGTGTCTTTGGTGTCTTGGTCTCGTGCTGACGCCTGCGCTCTTCCGGTGGCGTCTCCGGCCGGCTGTCGGGCAGGGCAGGAAGCTCATCCAAGTCTGTCTGGGTGGGAGAGCCAGGGGTACTGGGCGGCATTGGGCTGGGTGGCAGAGGGAGGAAGTCTCCGTACTGAGGATCGATAGCAGGTCTAATAGTCCGCGGCACAATCTCAGGATCGACAATGTCAACGTCTCGCGGGGGACTGGCGGATCTCTCGCGATGTCGAAGAGCATCTGACGACTCTTCCAACTGCGGTTCGTTGGCGTTGGAGCGGGACATCATGGAGCCCAAAGCTGCCACGGCGCTCGCCAAGCCGGCACCCGCGCCAAGGGTGCCGGCATTATCTAAAAAAGACGACTTCTCATCCTTGCCAGATACATCCTTACTGCTTCTGTTTCCGAAGAAGTTGTTGAAGAAGCCGCTACTGCGCTTCTCGTCTTCCTTGGGACTCTTCTTGTCGTCTCGACTGCGTCTCTTACGTTCAGAACTTTCGGACACCACCGACTTGGCGTCGTCGTCGTAGCGAGTCCCGTTGGAGGTTCGGTCAGACTTCTCGCGACGAGACGAACGGTCAGAGACAACAGATGCCGCGTCCCGTTCGTCCTCACGGCGACTCTTGGAGCGACGTTCTGACTTTTCGCTCCGTGTGGCGGGGTCGGACACAACTGAACTAGCATCTCTATCATCGAAGCGACTGCTGCGGGACCGGCGATCGGATTTCTCACGCCGGCTCGAGGGATCAGAGACCACCGAGCTAGCGTCAGCATCCTCGTACCGGCTGCTTCGAGATCGACGATCAGATTTGTCACGTCGGCTCGCAGGGTCAGAGACGACGGAGCTCACGTCGCGGTCGTCTTGCCGGCTGCTCTTGGAACGGCGTTCTGACTTCTCTCGCCTGCTCGACGGATCAGACACCACAGAGCTCACATCTCCGTCTTCGAACTTGGAACGGTCCCGCTGAGACTTGGCCGGAAGATCGTCCCAGTCTTCAAGACCGTCGCGAGTGCTGCTTCGTTCGGCGGTTGGAGTCGCGGTGTAATCGCTTTGTTTCTCGACGTCTGTCCATTCGTCTGAGCTCTGCTTAGATTTCTTGGACTTCTTCTTCTTCGCAGGCTCGTCCCACGCGTCGTCACCAGCCTCTTGAGGCTCACTAGAGCGGTATGATTCCTTCTCGGGCAGCTTCTCGCGGGAAGTGCTCGACTCGTTGTTGTAAGAAGATGGCTCTTGGGTTTCTGGCTCATCGTCATCATATGTGACAACGATATCAGATCTCGAGGCTCGATTCTTCTTCTTCTTCTTCTTATCCTTCTTACTCGATTTCGCTGACGGGGAGGCTTCGGCATCTGCCGGGGCAGCTTCGGAGTCCACCGCTCTAGAGGCGGGAGTCTCGTCGTAAGAGTGCGCTGTCCCAGAAGAGTTGGGCAGATCCCAGGTAGGTGCGTCCTGGAATTCACGAGTCTTGGGGCCAAGCGCCACAACGGTTTCCGGGCTTTGAGGGGTGTCGTAGTAGCTATGAGGCCTCTCGTAAGGAGGGCCCGTCTCTGCGTAGGGAGCAGGTTGGTCTCGGTAAGCGATTGTTGGCTCGCCGTAGTAGCTATGAGGTCTATCGTAGGTTGGCACTGCTTGCGAGTAAGGGGCTGGCGCAGGTTGGGGCCCAGCTTCGGCGACATCGTGATAGCTGTGAGTTCTGGCGTATGCTTGATCCATCGGTGCAAATGGGTTGGGTTCAGGTCGTGATGTCGCTTCGGGAACGTCATAGTAGCCGTGCGGTCTTTCGTAGACAGGTGCCGGTGCAGACGAAGAAGCAGGTTCACGCTGTGATCTTGACTCGGGGACATCATAAGTCTCGTCAGGCAACGCGTTGTCGAGGCTTTGCCTCTTTGACGCCTTTTGCTTGCGCTTCTCCTTCTTGCTCAGCTTCCTCGACGGCTCAGTCTCTTCAACTAGCGGCTCCCGCTCAACAAATGGCACCTCTTTAGCTTTGCCCTTGTCACGGCGCTCTTTATCACGAGGGGAGTCAGCCGCGTGGCCGTTGTGCAATTCCTTCTCGGCTACTGGCGTTTCTGGCACCTCGCCCATGACAAAACCGCGGTCGCCTGTAGTAGGCCCATCATGGTTGTGATCAGGGCCATAGATGCCCAGGTCGGTGACAGTCTCCGCGAAAGGCTGGTGATAGACGGCCGGCTCACTCTGTCCCGGCGGGCTGTCGCGGCGCATGTAGGTAGGGTTGTCAATCACGATGTTCGGGTCAAACCCAGTGTCTTGGAGACCAGCCGCCAGCACAGAGGCAAATTCTAGATCATCAGCAAAGGCGCCAGGCATTCTAGATGTCTGAGGGCTGGACGGCTTGGGGCCGGGGGCGGGGGGCAAGTCTGCCTCATCTTCGAATGACGTGGTGAGCTTAGACGGGGCAGCTTCGATGATGGGCGATATAGGCTCGACGCTACGAGACTTTGGTGACTCGGGCGGACTATGCCTCTCCCTATCTTCGTCCGGCTTGCTCTCGAAAGGATCGCGCATCTTGGGAGCTTCGGAGGCTTCGGAGACTGCAGCCACTGCAGCTCCACCAGCGACGCCCGCCGCGATGATGCCCCACGGTGAACTCTTGCCCAGTTTCTTCTTCTTCTTTGACTTGCTAGAAGTGCTGGACGGCGCCTTTTTCGGAGGTTCTGGGCTCTCGATCTGGAAGCTCTTGGTCTCATTTTCGCCCCAAGTGACGGACTTGGCTGTGGGTGTCGTAGGCCTTTCCACAACCTCGCCTCTGGGTCCGAAAACGATTTCAGTGGTAGGCGCGGTTGCAGAAGAAGGTGGCTCAGTTGAAGTAACTGATCGTGGTTGAACAGGCTCCTGGCTTCTGCTGGAGGGTTGTTGTTCCGCTTGCTTCTCAGGGGCAGGCGTGTGGCGCGGGGTAACAAAGGGCGTAGGCAAGACGAGGTTTAGCAGTGGTCGTTCACGCTCAGCAGAAGGATCGCGAGATTGGAAGATCGGCTGCGCGCCGGGATCGAGCCGACGGTGGGGCAGGCGGAAGCGGGAAAGCTCGTCGGGGATGATGACATGATCAATGCGAACGTCGGCGTTGGGCGCGTCGTAGGGGCTCTTGTCATGAGGGTGATCCATCTCCGGCGGCGTTACTATTGTGACGATATCAGGACCCTCATCGTGGTCCTGCCACTTGCCAACGACAGACTCGTCGTGGGGAGATGCGCTGCGCGAGCGGATCTCGTCCTTTGCAATCTTGCGGGCGATGACAGTCTCACGGTAGTACCTATCTGCCTCCTCCTGCACGGCGTCTTTGGTAGCTCGGGACCTGTCACGGGAGCCATCCTCGGTCACTTGATCGTTGCGGTGCTTGCGTGATCTCTCCTCCTCGACAGCGATGGCAGAAGCAATGGCGGCGGCGGCTATTGGCACGGTAGCATGCTTGGCCTCCTCGTAGATGGACTTTGCAGCATGCTGTTCCTCTTGGAGCGAGTCCCTCCGACGGCGCGGCTCAGGGGTCCGGGAACGGTCTCGTGCCCCTTGCTGGTACTGCTCCAGGCGCTTCTCGAGTTCAAAGGAGTCTTTGCGGCTCATTCGGGATTCCGAGTAGTCGGGCTTCCTCGGCGGAGAGTCGTCAAAGTTGGGTTCGCGGTCGACGGTGACGACCTGGGGCGTCAAGGGCCTCTTCGGGGTGGCGTACTTTGGCGTTTGGAAGGCATCATCAGCGACCTGGAACTGGAAAGGGTCAATAGGGGCTTGTGCATTGGGGGCCTCGGGATGCTCCACCCCATGTTTCTCTCGGGGCGCCTCAGTCGGCTTCTCTACCCGCTTCGCATCCCGGCGTTCATCCACGACCACCACCGGCTTACGGTCATCCCTACGAGGTTCCTTGGGTTCCTCACGTGGCCGGCGGTCATCTTTTGGGTCGTACTCAACTCGAATCTCATCACCTTGGGGTAGCTTGTACACCTCCGGACGAGGGTCAGTCTCAACATCGGGCTTCTTCAGGGCCTCATAGGCCAGATCAGAACGGCCGGCACGATGCTTGTCTCGGTCGTCGATGATCTCAACGTTGTTGCGTCGATGTGGCCGGCGGGGATCGTTCTGATCACGGGGGTCGCGGTCTTCCAGCTCGATCCTTACTGGACGTTCGGGTTCTTCCTCTTTGCGGCGGTTTTGCCAGGAATCGCGGTACTCCTCCCGATGATGATCTCGTACTTCACTTCGACCGTCATCGCGACGTTCGAGGTACTCGCTCGAGTCTCTACGGTTAGCAGCCATCGTCGCACCAAGAGCCGCGGCAGCAATGCCTACGCCAGCGATGGCATTCTCGGCAGCGCTCCTGCCCTTGGGCGGCTGGCGGGGTTGCTTGGAGTTCCGGCGCTCCTCCTCCTCCTCGAATCTCTCTGCATCGTAAACCTTGGACGGAAGAGGCACAATGGGAATAGGCTGCTGGATAGGGACCGGATCGGGTCGGGCACGCTGGGGAACATCCTGGCGGGATGAAGTTACAGAGCTACGGTCGTAGTCGAACTTATCGGGATCCGAGGTCGGCACCGGGTATATACGCTGCATCGGCTGCTTCCCCGTCTTGGGCGATTCGACCTGGGCTACCGTCTCTTCGTGGTGGCGGCGGGAAGAGCCAGCGGACCGGGGGTCTTCCTCGCCGAAGCCGCATGGACTTTTTACGGCGCCGCGAAGAGAGTTTACGGGTCCGAAGAGGCGTGGGTCCACAATGGTACTCCTCCGTGATGGTGGCTTGATCTGCTCCGGGGGCGCCGTTGAGATCCTTGCTGACTTGGACGGCTTGACGGCAGAGCCATATGCCAGACCGTTATCGGAATCGTCCGTAGTAGTAGACTCATCTTCAGACGCTGATTCCCAGTCATCGTCCGAGGAGGAAGCGTTTTCATTAGGTTTAGAAGTGCCAGATCCTCTGGTCTTTGTGTCGCTCTTACTCTTACTACGAAAATGGCTGAAGGCTGCGGCTGCGGCTGCGGCACCGGCCGCAGTACCGGCCAGCTGGGACGTCCGCGACTTGGCAGCAGACTTGAGATCATGGTCATTCTGCCTCCGGGCAATGTCTTGCAGTTGGCGACCAATTTCGAGAATTTCTTCATCGGTCTTGTCGCGGGGCACCGGAGGCGGTTGCTGTTGTTGTTGACGGGCGTCAGCGGGTTCAGTGCGGTACAGCGAGGGGCTCGCGTAGGCTTGGGGCGCCGGGCTCGTAAGCTGACTCTTGTCGCGGTCAATGTAGCCGCGACCGTAAGCCATGTCAGAGTTGACGGATGAGGAAGAGGAATTGCCAAAGGAGAGGATGCGGGCTTTCTGCTTCTTCCTCCTACGACGTTTGCGCTGCTCCGAGGGGGCTCTAAAGAATGTGTTGAAGAGGCCGCCAAACTTGGGGCTCCTTGCTGAAATGTTGAGCATGGAGGAGGATGTGGAAGAGGACGAAGAAGCACTGGAGCCACCTCGCGGTCGCATCCTTTCGGGCTGGTGGTGCTGTCCTTGGTATTCCTGCGGCTGGGCATATCGTTCGGGTTGGCCATAGCCTAGAGGCTGAACGAAGGCCTCGGGAGGGGGATACTGTTGTTGCGGCTGTTGCGGCTGTTGCGGCTGGTGCTGTTGATGCTGCTGGTACTGTTCGGGTTGGGGGTATCGTTGGGGCTCGCCGTATCGCTGAGGATCGTAGTATCTCTCAAAAGGGGCAGCATATCTCTCGGTTTCGGGGTATCTCTGAGCTTCGGTATAGGATTGGGAGTATTGCGATTGCGACGGCGAATACAGGGACGGCAGGGGCTGCTGCTGTGTTGGGGCCCTCGATGACGGACCGGGAATGCTCGATATGACGCTTTCGTCGGCAGCGGTGGCGAGTTGTTCGCGAGAATCACGGCGGTCTCTTCTTCGCCGCCGAGAGCTCTCTGGGCTCCGGCGACGCGGATCTCGCATCATGGTCGCGAGGGTATATCGAACCCTGTCGTGCGCATCGGTCGCTCTTCGAAAGGCTTGGTTGTCGCGATTGAATGATGGAATGTTCGACGGCGTGGGGTGTCGAATTGTGGTTGGTGAGTTAACAATGAGGCTCTGTGCTTTTTGGGGTGCGCAGACAATAATCTGGCGATGTTATTGTTTTGTTTTTCGAGGAATAAGCGATGAAGCGGGACAGGCCGTGAAGCTATATTCCGGGGGTGTTCCCCCCAAAACTGACTGAGCGGGGGGGGGGGTGGTGGTGGGAAGCCTTCAAATTGTGGAAGGGGGGGGGGCACGGGGAGACTTGGGTTGCACACTTGGGAGGGAAAGGGTGGCTGGGGACACACACTGGACACAATCTGGGACGATGGGCGCTGGGAAGGAGAGCCCAAGTTCTGGAGGAAGGTAGGAGCAGCTAGGCCCTTCCTGGTTCAGGGAGGCAGCTGGCAGCGACAGCACGAGGAAAGAGCAAGGAAAGAGCAAGGAGGAGAGGCCACACGAGGGACGCTCACCTCAGATGGCGGCGGGGTCGCCCAGCGATTGCGGTCCACTAAGACGAGGTGAACAGGGTGAGGCGAGCTGCCTGCGAAATTGCCAATTGCTGCAATTGGGACGAAAAGGAACTCGACGGCCAGCAGCTACGACCATCCCTGCAACCTGCCCTAGCCCGTTGTTTCCACCTCAGCTCCCATCTCGCCCATGAGGTGGTCCAAGTGTCCGACCGGTCACCGCGGCACCCTGTCGAAATTGCCCGCGCTTACGTACGGGTGCCTTGCCTTGTGCTTATCTAATAATTCATACTCACTTTGCACACTGCACTTTGTTCCCATGCATCATCCACTACGGAGTACAATCCACTATCCATGCCTTGCATCTTCTCGTCTATGCTTCAGCTCTTTTCTCGCTTCTGCAAGTCACTCTTGAGTATCCATCCGTATTGATAGTACATACTCCGTAGGTCTTGACTCTCGAGTCTTGAGGTCAGCGAGTGCACCCAATGCCACCATCCCCAACGTCCCATGTGGAGATCAGCCCGGCTCGTCTCCCCGCTCTGGCGCTCTGGCGCTCCCTCGCCAACGCATCCTTACCGCCTCTTCCATGAGCCTTTCTTTTTCTTATCGACGAGACGTGTCGAAGCCGTCGCACAAAGTTGCGATACGCTTCATCTCTTGATTCATCATTGACTCACCAATGGTTCCTCCAACTCTCTTGGCCTGACCCATCCACGTCGGGTTACTCTGCCTTCTCCAACACCTCAAGACAAAGAAAACCACGGCGGCGACAGGGATCTGCATCGTCTTGCTGCAGCCTGCTGCAGCCTACTGCGGCCTGTCTAACCAGGTCACCTGCGGCAACACGTGTAACCACTCTCACTGTCACCCTCTGCTGTGCTGGGAGATTACCCATTGGCGACTTTTCCACTCTAGAGAGTGATGCACCACAGAGCGCCACAGAGTCACACACTGAGAGGGATTCCCAAACCCGTCGTGATTGGGCCGCTGCTCGTAGGCCGCAACGTGAGCCACAGTCGCAGACATCGGCAGATCGGGTATCGCGATGGCGCCAGAAAATCTTTGATCCTAAAGAGGGGCGAATTTCCCGTCTACGCCTGCATGGCGGCCTGAAGCAAGGCGTTGGCTGGTATCGCTCGAGATCGACTGAGTGCATGAGTTTTTCCAAGTCTTCACCATCTCTGGCCGCCGCAAGTCGTTCTTATAAAGGCCCCAGCTTGGGTGGCTTCTTTGCGCCGGAGATCCATATTTACCGCGTTGTCCGTCGGTCCCACTCTCGCCGACTCCCCGAGTCCGCCGGCCGGTGGACTGAATTAACGGCCCTCTCGGCAACCATGGCGGCAAACATGGAAATCGTGCGGAACGCTTGCCAGAAGTACCACGGAAGAAAGATAATCGCATCATCTGTTCTAGCCGACTCCGAAAGTGTTCAAGGCCTGTCGGGGAATTAAAACCCTAGCAACGGCTTGGTTCCGAAACCATGGGTTTGTGGTCTAGCCAAACTAAACGGCGTCGGAACGATTCCGAACATGCGCTCTACCCAGATCCTCATGGCCCAGCTCAACACCATGATAAAAGCGTTGGATCTCTTATAGAATCTGTAGCCATGCTGTCATCACACAACTTTGTATCAACAACATATTCAGGTTGTTCAGATAATTCCCCATCCCCAAAATGGTCGTGTCGGATATCCACAGTGTTATCGAACGCCTACGACAAGAACACTTCGTCCCCTCCATACTCTTCGCTGCCGCAGCCACCACCGCACTACTCATCGTGATAGTACTCCAATTTTTCAAACCAATCGGCAAACGCAGAGGAAAAGATGGAAGACGTCCCATCATGCCACCAGGCCCCGAAGGCGTTCCCCTACTCGGGAGCCTGCTTCAAGTCAAAGCCAGCCAAGGAGACCCCTACAACAGAGGCGTACGTATCCCTCTCTGTTCATGTTCTAGAGCTGCCCGTAGACATCAATCTCACATATTCTTCATCCAGCTCCTCTCCATGGCAAAATACGGAGAAATGACCACCCTCCACCTCGGCTCAAAGACCCTCGTCCTCCTCAACAGCAGCCGTGTCGTCAGCGAAATCATCGCCAAGCGAAGCAGCCAGACGAGCACCCGAACCCACATGCCCATCTCCAACGAAATCGTCGGCCGCAACCGCAAGTCCCTCCTCATGTCCCAAAAGGACTGGGCCGAGCCCCGGCGCGTCATGCACGCCCTCCTCAGCGGCACCGCCCTCCGCCAGTACGGCGAGTTCCAGGAGCTCGAGAGCACCCAGATGATGGCCGAGTACGTCTTCAAGCCGAGCCAGTGGTACCGCCACCACTACCGCTACGCAAACTCGGTCATCCACCGCATCGCCTTCGGCGAGCGCCTCGTCAAGAGCACCGAAGAGCTCATCGACATGCAAAACGCAGTTACCTTCTTCGTCGGCTCCATCAACTCCTCCATCATCGACTGGTTCCCCGACCTCGCCAGGCTCCCGCGCTTCCTCCAGTTCTGGCGCCCGCACTGGGAGGCCCTCGGCCAGTGGAACTACGACCTCTACGACCGCTGGTACAGCCCCATTGCCGCCAAAGTCGAAAACGGCACCGCGCCCCCGTCCTTTGTCCGCGACACGCTGCTCCACCCGGACACTAAATATAAAGGCGACCACGTGGACGGCATGTACGTCGCCATGCAGCTCATCGAGGCCGGCAGCGACACGACCCGCGAAGCCCTCAACATCATGACCATGGCGGCGCTCGAGTACCCGGCCGTCTTCCGCCGCGCCCGGGACGAGGTCGACGCCCTCTGCGGCGTCGACGATGCAGCCCGCCTGCCCACCCTCGCCGACATGGACGATCTAAAGTACATCTGCGCCATGGCCAAGGAACTCTTGCGCTGGCACGTCATGTTCCCGCTCACGCCGGACCACACGACGTCCGCGGACATGGAGTTTGAAGGGTACTATTTCCCCGCGGGCACTGCCTTCGCCATCAACGGCCCCGCCGTTGCCAACGAGTGCGAGGACCCAGAGGAGTTCAAGCCAGAGAGGTGGTTGGACGGCCACGAGACGGATATCGCGCACGGGTTGTGGGCTTTTGGCGGCGGGCGGAGGATATGTGTGGGATACCGCCTGGCTCAGCGCAGCATATTTTTGAATATCGCTAGGTTGGTCCAGTGTGTCAACTACAAGGCTGTGAGTGTGACCTCTCATCCTCTCCCTCCCTCCCTCCCTTTTTTGGGGGAGTGCAGTACACTGACTGACGACCAACTACTAGAACGGACCATACAACAGGAATATCCTGAACCTAGAGGCCACGGGCGAGCCCTTCCCCGTCAAGGTCGACATGAGGAACAAGCACTACGAGTCTATCATCCTGCGAGAGGCGGAGGTTGCTGGTGTCTTGGAGGACGCTAAGCTGATGCGGGACTGAATTACATGACTCTTGACCCCCACCTTTTCTTTTTTATGGAAGACTTTTGACTTTGGCAAGATAATCATCCTTACCTATCATCAAGTTCTACACAATATAGTCTTTCACTTGTATTCTACAATATTGTAGACGATATAGTTATCTGCTTTCTGTGACTACTTTGGTAGTATTAATCTATCTCTATAAAAGACGCTTCAAGTCTCGTATCCCATCACCTCCCACCCGCGAAAGAAAGACATGGGATCAGGCTCAAGAAGCAGCGAGACATCGATATCCGCCGGAAGCGACCAGCTCTCCGCCAACCCCGCGCAACTCATCTCGGGGTCAATCTGCTCTCCCAATGGTTCTCTCGCTATAACATAATGGATCCCATATCAGCGTACTGTAAAGCCCATGAAATTTGAGAGAGAGAATGGGGGAAAAGGCTGGGTTGGATTTCTCTTGTGGCTAGGGGAAAGGATCACATACACACACGCTCGCGCTCACACTCACCTGCTTGCAGCTGCGTGACGGCCCCGTCAATCTTGCGCAGCAGATCCAGCGACTTGCGAGCCGAGACGCTAAAGACCGCGATGGCCTGCAGGATACCCTGACACTGTTCCCACGAGGCGGACGTTGCCGCGTGGTCTAGCCCCGTCCAGAGGCGCGGACATAGGCGGGAGACGATTAGGACTAGGCCGGCGGCGCAGGCATCTGTAATTCCATGTGAGCTTCGTATTATCCCATCGTCTGATTTAAATACTCGAAGCGGGAAAAGTTTCCAGGGAATGGGCAAGAAGGAATAGGGTATAAGAGGAGAAAGGGGGGAAGGACTTACACAGGCTATTCCACCACCACGCCCCGGTCGTGTCCGTCCAATACGAACCCTGCACCAGATCAATGAGCCGCATGGCCGCGCCCACACACACCCTGGCACACTCCGTCAGGAACGGCGCCCGGAGACCCTTGTCCTGCGGCTTAGGCGGTGCTTCGGACGTTCTTCCGGCGGCGTCCCGGTGAGGTCGGGCGTACCCCGCAGAGAGATCAGTGAGGATCGGTCTGTGAAGCATGAGACGGAGATACAAGAGTCTGCGGTTTTCGGACGATCAGTGTTTAGTCAGGTTTCGTCGGGGATTTCTGCGGAGTACACTTTGTGGGAACAAACCTTGCGTGTAGCACGTGTTTCTGTGTCGCGAGGATACGGAGGTCCTCCGGAGACGATACTCCGGCCAGCGCGGAAGCAGACTCGGCTCCCCACGACAGAAGCGGCGGCACCGAGTCCTCAAAGTCGGTTAGTTTGGAGTCGAGTTCGACGATGGCGTCAAAGCTTAGTCCTCCTCCTTCTCCTCCTCCTCCCCGCGTGCCACAACTTGCTCTCTGAGTGGGATGCCGGTTCCGCCACGGCTGGTAGACTTGCGAGAGGATATTCTCGAGTATCAGACTCAGCTTGAAGCTCTGGGTGATGAATTCCAGTTTTGGTTGCTCGATGCGCTGGTCTGCGGCGGAATGGGACCGAGAACGTAGTTCGTTTGCTGAAAGATTCGATGTAACGGTTGGTCGACCAAACGTCATGCTCACGAGACTTGAGAATGTTAGATCTTGTCAGTCTTCGGGCATCGACCCAGGTTCCCTTGAACCGGTCATGAACACCAACGGAGAGAAACAGGGCAAAGAAAACACTCACGTATCGAGAATAACACAACCTTGCCACGTCCGCTGCCTAACATCCATCTCCAAAGTAAACCCCTCCTCCCGTGCCGCCACAACATCCATATGAAGCCCAAGCCCCTGCGCAATCCGACACGCAATTCCAACAGCATTCCAACACCGATCAGGAAACGGCGTCCCCTGAAAGACCAACCCGGACAACAACAGCGTCTGCACGACGCCGAGGTTATTCTTCTCGAGCAGATCGACGCTGAGGCACTTGCGACTCCGCAGCAGGAAAATCTCGATGCTCTTTGCCTTTTCGGCGCAAGTGAGGTCGGCAAAGTTACAGGCCAGAGCAAAAATGGAGTTGAGGGCGCTGTGGAAGACGATTGTGGTGGCGTCTGCGCCGGGGGAGCAGCCTAGGCCTACGCCGCGGAAGTCGTCGTCTGCTTGCGTGGCTGCTGCTGCTGTTGCTGTGGTTGTCGTCGGTTGCCAGAGGGATTCGTAGGCTCTTTCAAAGGCTGGTTTGTGGAATACGGGGTAGAGGTAGTGTACTCTCTGAAAGTACAGCTGGAGAAGGTGATCGGCGAACGGGCGAGGGGGCAAAAGGAACTTGTCAAAGTCCGCGTACAGAGAAGACGGCGTCGAGACGGACGGCAGTGCCTGCTGACTAACCCGAAACGGTGTGCCCCCCGACGGCTGAGCTCGTGCAGGGACCGAGTTCGAGTTCATCGCGCTGTAGGCTTCCTTCAAGAACGCAACGGCCGAGGACCTGCCGTAGAAGTCAGGCTCCGCAGAGTTGTTGGGCGAGTCTTCGAGGTCGTCCTCGGCGAGGATGGTGCCCATGGCCGTCACTCTCCTTGCCTCACTCAAGCTGTCGACGCCGACGGACGAGTACGGCGACGGGAGCTGGGCGGCTGCTGCTGCTTGGTCGTCGGATGTTTCCATGGCGGAGGCGGCGTCTAGTACGTTGAAGTCCCGCGATGCTGCGGCGGATGAATCATTGTCCGCGGGCCCTTGGATGTCTTGCCCGATAGCTTCGAGGGTGTTGATATCGATGCCGCGCGACGCGCAAGCCTGTTCTAGTTTGTGAATGCGCTCATGAAGCGTCTTTGTGTAGCTTTTTTGGCAGGTGAGTGGAATGAAAAGATGGAAACATCAAACCATTACTATTGCGAGGAACTCACTCATCGCTACATGCCGTTCTGGCATTATTCACCGTGTAGACGCAATGCTCGAGGTTCAGAGACCGGCGCTGACAGGTTGAACAGATGGGCTTGCCACCATCGCAACGCGCCTTGCGCTCTCGGCATGGTTCGCATGCAAGTGTAATTTTGCGACGACGCTGCCGTTCCTGTCGCCCAGGAGGCATCGTAAGGTGCCGTTTACTGCCGCGATGGGACCCAAGCCAGGTTTGTTGATATTGAAATTTCGGTGAAGAATCGACGCTTCTACGTTGTCAAGTTGTTACTGCCGTTGTGTTCTCATTGTGGGATGGCTCGAGATTGTCGAGAACTTTAGGACAGAGCAACAGAAGTACTGTGAATGTACCAATACTAAAAACAATGCGGAGATGCCGGATGGAAGTGTTCGTCATAAGGTACTCTGGACTCCTTGAATGGACAAGGTCCAAATGAGTTTTGCGGGGTTGAACGGCTATGTCCTTGACGTGCAGATCGGACCGTGAAGTTCCCCAGCGGAAGCGGGCCACCGGGACGAGTTGAAAGCCCACCGGGGAGTTAGAAATTACGCTATGACTATCACCAGCACAATGATTGGTGCGTGTTTTCGCCGTTTGCCTCGACAAGGGTGCAACTGCCGGGCCCGTTAACTACTAGTATTGACGAAATACCTGGCATGCCCCAGATTGGTGCAGGTGACATCTTGGTGAGCTTATGTCGGTGTTTATTCTCATGTGAGTATCGAAGGATATGGGTACAACTTGGCTAGGCTATTTTGTATACAACTGTCAGATGAATTTGAAAAGAGACACTGAACACCCCTGCAATGATTAAGCCGCTGGCAATTCGAGGAAATACATTATGATGATGATGATGATGATGATGATGATGGTCTACTTGGGAATGGAGGAAACAAGGGCATTAAACGAAACCTGAGCGTGAGCCACAGCCGCAGTGAATACTGTCTTGTCAAAAGCACCCCAGGCCGCAAGACCAAGCAACGTGGTCAGGACGAAAAGCAGACCCCGCGGCTGCCTCTTCTTGATCGACGAGACCGAACTAGTTTTTCCCTGTAACGCAACAGTCAAGTTAGCTTCGCCATTCATCCAGGCAGTTGTCACAATGCTCCTTGGTCTACTCACGCTATACTCCCAGTCCGACCACACTGGAAACAGGCAGCGATACCAAAAGTAGCCCTGCGTATAGGGGTAACTCATGGCGTTCCACGTCTTGGTGCCGTCCGCCGATTTTTGAAAGTACCAGCTGCTGCATCCCGAGTTCCACACCCTGTGCTGCAGGGCGTCCTGGATGGTGTCGGTGTAGGTCTCCTCGGCCTCGCGCTTGATCTCCGCGATGCTCGCTTTGCCTTCCAGCACGGGCTTGAAGACGCGCAGGGCGTAGTTGATGGAGTTTTCTAGGGCCATGATCGACGAGGTGTGTCCCGTCGCAGCGTTGGGGCCTGTTGGTTGTTGAGTATACATGTTAGCACTAAGAAATCCACTTCTTTCATAGGCACTCATCTCCGGAGACTTGTGAACATACCCATAATCATGACAAAATTGGGAAAGTTGTTCATCATCGAACAGTTGTACCCCTCGGGCCCGCCAAACGACTCCCAATGGCTCGGTATCGTCTCGCCGCCTCGCCCAATAACATTGACCCCAGCAACGAACTCATTAGTGTGGTATCCGTTGGCCAGGATAATCACATCGGCCTCAATGTGCCCCTTTGCCGTCCTGACGCCCTCCGTCACAATCTCCAGCGCCTTCTCGTTCGTCAAGGTCAAATTCTCGGCGTGCAGGCTCTTCAGGTACCCGGAATCGAAGATGCGCCGCTTACACCCAATCTCGAACTCCGGGACCAGCAAGTCGTGGTACTTGGCCGGCGCCGTAGACCGCATATACTCTTCCGCAATCTTCTTCTGCCCGGCCCTATACTTCCCCGCCGCCTCCGTCAACGAGAACCCCTGCAACGAGCTCTCCGCCGCAGCGAAAACGATGAAGCGCAGAAGACGCGTCAGGCCGGGTACGGACCTGAGCCCGGACCGAATCACGTCGGGCACCTTCCTGTCAATAGGCGGGAAGATCCAGTGCTTCGACCGCACAATCTGCGTCAGCGACTTTGTCTTGTGGACGATGTTTGGAACGACCTGCGCGGCGGTACACCCGTTGCCAAAGAGTACGACCTTCTTCCCCTCGAGCTCGATATCCGGACGCCACCGGCCGGTATGCTCAATCACGCCCTTGAAGGTATCCGCGCCGGGCACGTCAATGTCGTTGGGTGTGACCAGCGCGCCCGTGCCGGCGAAGAGGAACTGGCACTCGTGGAAAAAGATGGCGCCCGACTTGAGGTGGCGGATCGAGAGGCGCCAGCGGGCGCGTTCCTCGATCCACTCGCAGCGCTCGACCAGCACGTCGAAGGACATGTTGCGGACGAGGTTGTACTTGTGGGCTATGTTGTTGAGGTACTCCCATATCTCATAGTAGGTCGGCAGGACTCGCGTCCAGTGGGGGTTGGGCTCGAAGGAGAAGCTGTACAGCGCGCTGGGGACATCGCAAGCGCATCCTAAGCAGCGAGATCAGAGATTGTTGTTTGCTCTTGTTCTAGAAACTATAATGAGGGATTGGGATGTCCAAAAACATACCCGGGTATCGATTGATGAACCAAGTTCCACCTAGCTGGCTATGCCGTTCAAAGAACTTTACGTCTTCGATTCCGTACCATCGCTTCAGCGTTGCCCCTAGGCCAATGGCTGCAAACCCAGAGCCAATACAGGCGAATTGGCTGTAAGAGACATGTTCAGTCTCGCTGACGTTGATAGTCTTCGCCATGTTGTGAAATCGTCGAGGTTTAAAGAACGAGGTTGGTATGAGACGCCGACGACTATGAGGAATACAGTCACCAGTGGGATTATTGAGAGAACATGCAAAATAGCTGTGAGAGCCTGACCATCCCATTGTTTTATTCTGAAAACATCTTGCCCTTCATCCTTCCACCAGCCGTCCGTACATCACTCTGTCACTGTGCTATGATCGGGTTCCGGATGGTTTCCGTAAATGGACATTTGGGAGACCGCGGGCGCGTTCCTATTGGTCGGGACGATTCCGATAAGTGCCTAGGAATGTGACGGTCATTCGAAGCCGCGAACCCCTCGTCGTCGTCTTCGTTCTCGCACTTCCGATTGGCAACAAACTGTCTGCGTCGATGGGAACGATGAGTTTGTGATGTGCATTCCTCAGCATGGACGACACGGTTCGTCACAGGAACGACTTGGATTGGGCACCGTGAGGATGTATTTCCGCGCCAACCCCGTGACATGGGTAAGGTAGGTAGGTACCTCAAGGTATGCAGAGTTGATCACGCCAGGAGGGGAGTGCCATACCAAATCAGGTCGAATTTGAAGTCCTGTTACTTGAATCAATCGCCAACTTTGGGGGGTTCGGACGAGTCTGAACGAATTTATGGTTCTTCTCAACGTGAGAGTCTATCGATGTCTGATGCTTAACGCCGATTGTAATTATGACTTCCATGCGATGCAAGAGCAACAATTCATGTTCGAATTCCATGTGATATAACAATAATCCAACCATATTTACATTTTCTGAAGGTTCTTGTAGGAGAGAAAACAAACCCAGAATCAACATCCCCCCCCAATGAGGCTTCGTATTCCTCTTTCTTTCGAACCCAAATTCGTTACCATGTCGGCATGCACCTACTTCTTACCATCCATAACCTCCAACTTCCCAGTCTTGCTATCAACCTTTTGATACCCCTTAAAGTCCACCTTGAGACCCGCAGTACTCTCCCTCGCGATCCTCCAAAACCACTCGGGAGAACTCCTCTATTCGCACATCCCGCGCACATTAACAACCAAAAAGTTTTCTTTGGAGAGGGTTGCAACGGAGAAAGACTCACCAACATGGCAATGTACCGCATGATACCCGGCAGGTAAATCACCCTCCCGAGCCCGCTATACAACGTATCCGTAAAAGCCCTCGCAACAGTATCCGGCTCAAGCAACGGAAACACAAACGCCGACTGTCCCGTCTCACCCTTGAACATGGCCGTCTTGATGAAGCTCAGGAGGCCCAGCGTCAGCCGGACTTTGGGCGCGTTGTGGATGTATTTCAGTTCCAGCTGAAGACTCTGTTTCCGCAGTACCCGGAGTGATTAGATATATAACGTCTAGAGGTAAGGCTTGCACAAATAACATACCTCATGAAGAGCCGCCAATCCAGCCTTTGTCGCCGCATAATCCGCAATCTGCGCAGGCGGCATCACAGAACTCATCGAGCTCACATTCACAATGTGTCCATGATTCTCCCTCACCATATGCGGAAGAAACTCCTTGGTCAACAAAAACGGCGCCAGCAAGTTGGTATTAATTGTCAGCTCCACGTCGGCATACGTCCCCTCCATGACGGTGCGCCCGCGGCCGAGCCCGGCGTTATTCACCAGCACCGTCGGGTTCCCTACCTCGGCGCGGATGCGTTGGCAAAGGGAGCGGATGTTTTCCTTGTCGCTCAAGTCGCACTGGTAATAATGCAGATTCTTCCCCGTCCCTGGGCTAGGTTGCCATGCCAGGGGAGCATAGTCCACCACGACGATCGTCGTGTGCGGGTTCCGCGCGAGGAGATCGCGCACCACGCCCGCGCCGATGCCGATTTCACCGCTGGCGCCCGTGACGACGACGATTTCTTTGGACCAGTCCCATGTTGTGTCCGTCGTCCAGTTGTTGGCGGTCCAGCGGGTGAGGTACTCGTGGAGCCGGAGGGCCAGGCCAGCGGCCGCGAGGGCGCAGGAGGCGAGTTGGAGTTGGGGGAGGGTGACGGGTACGTTGTACGAAGTGAGGGCGGTTTGGTCTAGAGATAGCGTTGCTACTCCTGCTACCGCGGCGACGAGGGCTGGGTTGAGGATGGTCCCGCGGAGGAACACGGCGACGGTGTCGATTGTTAAAGGCATGGTCTCTGGTGGTGAAAGTGAATTGAGCAAATGAGAAGCTACGCAATAATTCTCGTCATCAATCTTTGAGCCATCTGGACTGCAAATATAGTGGAATGTAGACCAAGATCTACCTTATACGACAAACGTCTCCACCACTCCCGTAACCCATCCTCTTCCCCAGACCGTCCCCGATGGGTCCATCCCGGACCCCACGTCGGGTTCGTTCCGAACGCAACCCCGGTTCAGCCTCCTGGAGCTGTTCCGTTTGACTCCAACGGCCCATCCCCCACAAAACGTGCCAAGAGAAAGAACAGCCGGAGGCGGGGAAATAAATCTTGATTTCCCCATATTTTGGGACGAAATTCTGTACTCCATGTCGGCCCGCTGCGGAGTCCGTCAGTGCAACATCCCGTCTATACCTTGGCTGGCTCACACTCTCTAGTGTTGGATAAGGTAGGAACCTCGGCTCGCACTTGCATCAACGCTTCGAAGCTACAAACTGCCTTATTTAATGGTTCCCCAGAGTACCTTACCTCTTTCGAATTACTAAGTAAAGTGGCAAGCTCCTCTACCCACGTCATTAGGAAACTCGGCTCCAAACACTCGGATCAGATCAGCAACCATGGCCCAGGGACAACCTGGTCTCCGACCTCTCGAGAAGTTGGGTCTCATCTTTCATGTGCTCTGGGGTAGGTACAAAACTCAACAAGCTACATGACGTAGAGCTCACCGAAACAAACAGCTTTCCCTACCTTGTTCTCAATCGTAGCTCTCGGGCTACCACGCGCCATCCACCGAGGCATCCCGCTGAGATTCTGGCTCCTGGCCACAACTTACCGCATCGTTCTGGGCTGCTTCAAGCCGCGCGAGATCCAATTCCTTGCCACTCCTACCCTCGAGGTCTACTCGGCCTGGGTCGCAAAGCAAAAGGCCAAAGAGTCCAAGAACGGCAACGTAACCGCCCTCAGCCGTCTGCACCAAGACATCGAACCCCTCGGCACCGAGGCGGGTACCAACAATGTCGCAACCGACGGCGGCAGCGGAAGCATCATGTGGCTAGGCAATCGCAAAAAGGCCTCCAAGTTCGTCCTCTTCTTCCACGGCGGCGGGTACATCGCCCCGCTGGCTCCGGGCCACCTCACCTGGTGCTGGGAGAGCTACGTCAACGGTGGCCCCGGCGGTGCCGATGGAGGGGAGGTCGCCGTCGCAGTCTTGCAGTATACCCTCTGCCCGGGCGCTACGTACCCGACGCAGCTGCAGCAGGCCGCGGCGGCCCTCAACCACCTCCTAGGGTCCGGCGTCACGCCAGAGAACCTCATCATTGGCGGCGACTCGGCCGGCGGAAACCTCACAGCTCAGGTTCTCTGCCATCTCCTCCGTCCCCACCCTGATGTCGAGCCCGTTCGGTTGACTAGCCCCCTTGCCGGCACATTCTTGGTCTCCCCTTTCCTCTCCCTTCGCACCGATGCCGTGACCTTCCGGGATAATCACCGCGTCGATATGCTCTCGGCGGCCATCGTCGCCAACGGTGGCAATTACCTCTTTGCCGACGACCACGCGCAGAAGCAAGCCACGAATCCGCACGAGCCGCTGGCGCTGGATGGCGATATGGAGTGGTTCGGGGAGATTCACACAATTGCCAAGTCGGTGTACGTGACCGCTGGTGCGCAGGAAGTGTTTTGCAACGATTCACGGGTTTTTGCGGAGGCGGTCAGGAGACGGAATCCCGGGCTGAATGTCCAGCTTGAGGTGGCGGCGACCGAGGTCCACGATGGGATTCTGATCGAGTCCGAGTTCGGGATGATCGGGGATGCGTCTCAGAGGATGAGAAGTTGGGCATCGAAGTGTCTTTGTTGAGTTTTCGGTCGATGAATGAATGCACATGATACCATCGCATTTGATGACCGCAACATGACAAGTGCTTGTCGGGATTTCTGTTCTTTTCTCTGCTGCCGCGTCGTTCGTCTAGTGCGCTCGCAAGAATATGCCTGTCCATTGAACTGTGGCGTAGAAGTTCTCGTAAGGTAAGCGGTCCAGTCGATGATCCGGTATCAGGTGAGCTTCTTCGTCAGCCACCTGCACGCACTCGCGGGCAAGGACGTACTTCTTCCGTCATATCAGACTCATTTGAAGTATCTCACGATTTCAAGAAGAAGAAGAGTTTAGCGTGCGGCAGCGCAACTTGCCCTGTCGCGACGGGACCTTGATTCCAGTCGCTCAATTCCGAATTGGCTCTCTCCAAGAGGCAAGGGTGTCTCGAACCGAGGTCACGATGCGTATGCCGCGGGTAGTCGAGAGGGTACAGCCGGGGCCGAATATCTCAAATACTGAGTGTACCGCGTCAATTGCTGTCAAACCCGACAAAACTTGACAAACCGAGATAGGCGAATCGATTCTAGACCACGAAATCAAATTCGACATCTCGTCCAGTCGTGTCGCAATAAAGAAGGAGCTTCGCCGATTCGTCGCCCTACAAGATCTGCCTCCAAAAAAAAACAAAAGGCCAAGACTTTGGCACGTTTGTTCGGGGTACTGTAGCGGCTGCCCCCTCTTCTTCCCTCGCCACTGGCGAGTTTTCATCATGTAAATATCGCGTAACCGTTTTCCCTTTTCTCAAAGAGCCGCGTGCCCAAAGCCAACATGTCCAGCATGTCACTGTCTCTTCATCTCGTTTCCCGTTCCAGCGGGTGCGGGAAGCCCAAAAGGACGAACCGAAACGAACCCCCGTTCCACAAAAGTCGAATTGAGGCTCTTTGGGGCTTGCTTTGACGACATGTTGTCTCTCCAAGGTGGCGTGTCTCCAACGGCTCTGGGGCGAAGAGATGTAGATGTTTAAATCCACGTCGATGCCCAGTGAATTGAGGAAAGAACTGACCTACTTGCCTACCTTCCAGATAAGCAAAGCAAGCAGCCTTTATCTGCTATCTTATCGCAAATCAGACCGTTGCACCCGCCACGCCACACCACACACCCAAAATGCACGCCAACATGTCGTTGCGCCCGCAACGCCCGCCAAACCACCACGAAAACCCACCTCTTGCGGGCGCAAGATCCAAACTCCCGGGCCCTTGATGCGTTACGACTTGGGTGTTTCCTTTGCCGCATCGTGCAACGGGAAGGATCAACTCTCTTCTTTATCTAGGAGATTTTTATTTAGACATGTACCTAGGTCCCTAGGGGGACGAACCGCTTCCCGAGATCTGGGGAAAGGGAGAAAAAAGTCCCGTCGAGCGCCCGCTGGATCTCGGGGTGCAGCAAAAGCTTGAAGAGCCGCATCGTGGATATGACTTCATATTTCGACATCGCGACTACCTCTCTTGCTCTTGCGGCCTGCCCCATACATTGTTCACTTTTCTGGTAGTAGCAGGTGCGTACGGAGGAGCATGGCCCGTTGGGTCCTGCCAAGACATTGAAAGTTGAACCCCGTGGCACGCACTTTCTTGCCTAACAATCTCCCACTTGGCGCCCTCCTCTCTCGCCCACCTTCTCCTCTGCGGCCTCCCCTTCCCTCTCTCTCTCTCTCTCTCTCTCCATCTCTTCCACCTTTGCTCGACATTTCTCCCACGTCTCCTTCTCTTCCAATCTTTCAGCTCGCATGACCGCCACCTCTCTTCACTCCCACTTCTCCTATTCCCAGGCAAAGATAAGGGAACCAGAGGAACTGTCGGCATCAATCAGCCTTCGTATCCATATCGATCCCCCCCGTCTTCCCAATCCCGAATTTTCCCTTCACCCGCGCGCCCTTTCATCAACCGACGCCCAATGCAAGCCGACGAACCCCCATGATGCATGCTCGACTAAGGTATATCACACTAGCTCGCCGCGACGGCGTGAACACACCCGAAAAGTGGATATATTCCTCAGATGGGCAGACCAACTTTGGGGGTCGCGCCGTCAGTTCGCCCACTCAGAGTCCAATTCCTTATCTCTTCGACCTTTCGTCGTGGGTGGGGTTCACTAAGGCGACAAGCCCCCCCGACGTCGGTAGCGTGGGCGAGAAAAAAAAAGGGTGCGTCGACAGGGGCCTCGATGTCGATGAGGGGATCCTTGACAAGTTGACGATGACGCCCCATCCAACGATCCCACCCCCCTCGAAAAGAAGACACAGCGTGAAGCGTCAATTCCCGATCGCTTACGCAAGGCTACATACAGTACGTACTATTTTCCCCTTCCTCGACATATCTTCATGATTAATTGCCTCGATTACCAACGGCAACGGTGTTGTCTACATCCGCTCCGAGATAGTCGCACCCTTTTCAGAGTATTAGAGCTAGCGCCGACGTCGGCTCACCGGTACTGTGCCGCGGCGCTTGGTCTGTCAACTTTGAAAAGCAGAAACGAGATTCATACTCCGAAGCTGAAAGGTGTCCAAAACCAGAGGACACAGACATCCTATTCAGTGTCCCGTCGCGTATTCTATGCAGAATATCATCCTACTCGGAGTATCATCCCAAGTACCCAGGTCGTGTACGAATACGTATGCATGCCGTTTGGGACGGCCGACGGAGGGGACGTAAGATGCGCGAGATGAACGTTCCAATTGGACCCGCGGTCTACTGGCCGAACCAATCTTAACCATACCGTGGTCGACCGGACGTGGTAGCCAAAACGGAACGAATAGACGAGCACCAAGAAACCCAAACCAAAGCACGAAATAACGTACCGCTAGCTATTCCGGGGAACTGTAGCCCAAATATCCGCCTGAAAAACTCAGTTTTTCGAGTCGCGTGTAAAAAGTCAAACTCAAAACTCAATCATCGAGACGAGACGGGAGGGGAGAGGCACCGCACACGCACCGCCTCACTGCCGACTCGACAAGAGTGAGACTGTGAGTAGTGAGACTGGGTGTGAGCAGGAAAACCCGGGCGACGACCGATGTCTACTACAGTAGTCGGATTTGCCAACGAATCAAACATGCCAGAAGCAGAAATAGAGCTTGCGCCAAGGCTGATGGCCATGTTTCGATCCTTTCCCCTCACCCTCACCCCATCCGCGCAACCTTCCTGACTTTCCACAAACTTGTGGCACTTGTCCGCAACTATCCAGCTTTGCCAAGCATGTACACTCACAGCAATGGTGCGCTGTTTTTTATTTTCTTGGTCGCCATTTCCGGTCGGAGGATGAGACATTCGGTAACACCGCATGCATCCTCGTTGTGTCACCCCCCTCCCTATTCACTTTGCACAACTCTATCGTAGCTTTCATCCCATCACACTGTCAAAGTTCTTCAGCCGAAAAGAACTGCGCTTGAGCGTTTAGAATAGATCATGAGTCGCTTTTATTTGGCGTCTCATTACGGATATACCATGGGGTATTATACAACAAAAAAATATCTGCTCGCTTCGCATTTCGCGGGATATCCTTCCAACAGAGAAAACAGCTTTAGATCAATCCCATCCTGTAAATAACGCCTGGCTTTTGGAGCCCAGACGGCAACCAAAAATTCAAATCAAAGTGACCAACTCTTCCTCGTGGCACGGGCGCCTTACAGAGAAGGAGCCTTCTCGCTCCTGATCTCGCCTTGAGGCGTCACAGGCTTGGGCTCATCTGATCCGCTGCTTGCTCCATTGTTGGCCATGTGCTGGTGCTCCTCAATTCCGTGCTGAGGAATGAACTTTCCCTCTCCGGCGGGCTCGGCCTGGTGGGGGGTCCATGCAAGGAAATCGCGGCGAACCTCGACGTAGTCGTAAGAGAATTCACCGTGCTGGTCGTCGTCCATACCCAGAAGCTCGGCCTCCTCGGAAGCACGGAGCTTGAGACCGGGAATCATGTCGATGGCCTTGGCGAGGATGGCGGACATGACGAAGGTGTAGGCGCAGCATGCGACGATGTAGGCGATTTGGATGTACATGAGCTTGTAGTTGCCGTCAACCCAGCCGCCAGAGACTCCCATGTTGACACCGTCGAGGCCGATGATCGAGCCAGACGCGAAGAAGGCGTTGAAAATGAGACCGACAATACCGCCGATACCGTGCTCGGCGAAGACATCAAGAGAGTCGTCGATCTTGAGGAGGAATTTGACTAAGAGCAGATATGTTAGCAGTGATCAAATGGGCACGAGGAGGAGTAGCTTACTCTTAGTGCCAAAGTTGCAAGCAACGCCAGCAACAACACCGAGGATGATTGAGGCCCAGGGAGTGATGACACCGGAGGCAGGGGTAGCGGCAACGAGACCAGAAATGGTGCCAGAGCACCAGCCGACGAGAGACCACTTCTTGGCCAGGCGGAAATCGAGGAGGCACCAAGTCATGGCGGCGAACATGGCAGTCAAGCAGGAGTTCCAGCAAGCCATGGCAGCGCGGAGGTTGGCACCGAAAGCAGAACCGCCGTTGAAGCCCAACCAGCCGAACCAGAGAAGGATAGTGCCGAGGGTGATGAGGGAGATGTTGTGGGGACGGAAATTGAGCATCATTCTCTCGTTGCGACGGCCGAGAACCCAGGAGTAGGCGAGAGCTGACATGCCAGAACCGATTTCGACGGGGCCGCCTCCGGCATAGTCGAGAACACCGTACTTGAAGGCCCAGCCGTTGGCGTTCCAAGCCCAGCAGGCGACGGGAGCGTAGACGAGGGTGGCCCAGAAGAAGATGAAGACCATGCAGGGAATGACTCGGCCGCGCTCGGCGGTGGCACCAGCAGTGAGGGCGGCAGTAACGGCGCAGAACATCATCTGGTAGAAAGAGTAGAGAAGGGCAGGGACGAGAGGCGAGCCCTGGGACGGAGTAGCGAGGACCTTCATGAGGCCGAAGTGACGAAGATCACCAATGAAGCCGTTGGTGGCAGTTTCGCTGAAGGCCAGAGAATAGCCCCAGAAGTACCATTGGAAGACGATGACGGAAAAGCTCATCATGACCACCCACAATTGGGACAGAGCCGACTTTCTGCGGGCGAGACCAGAGTAGAGGAAGGCGATGCCGGGAATCATGAGCAGGACCATGGCGGCCGAGACGAGGATATAAGACTGGTCGCCGGATTGGTACCATTGGTTCAAGTTCGTCGTGGCTATTCAAG